AGTCACAAGCTGTGAGCGGTACAAGACACGTAATAGCAGAAATGATCTTTTCCCACCAACTATCTGCAATGAATACAACGGTCATGTGTGGCGATTCACATAACGTGCCCCGCACACACACGCATAAGTTACGCGGCATAACCCTTCCCCGCCGCGGACTATCTCGGATCTTCCCTCAATACACGGAGTGTATCGAGTGCTGGAACCCCCAGCCTCCGTCCGCGACCTTGCCTAACATTGAAGAAGAGCTCGTGTCGCGAATCGATCAGTCGGGGAGAAGACACTCCAACCAGACAATCCCCATAGTTGAGATCGATTCGGGACGACGACGAGTCCTTTTCCTATATGCGAGGTGGCGGACGTGAGCCGGGAACTTTTACCCTTCTACCACGACAATGACTCCTCTGAAGGGAATCTTCACTCAAATCCAGCCAAATCACTGATTTGAAATCAGTGATGGTATGTTCCCCACTGAACGAAACCAAGTATCCAAGATTGTGGCCCATGTATGATGATCGGAGATCTTAATCCACGCTTAATTAAGATTAATCATAAGCTGATTCCATTGATTTGAGGCGAGCGAGATCTGCTGCGTCACATATCCTGTTAACACGTGTGCAAGCACGCAGCAGCACGATGACGGAAGCACAAGTGAGGAGGACGAGGCGGACGAGGCAACGGCGCCACAAACAATAAGAACGAGCACCAGCAAGTGAGCCAGCGTAGGAATCGTGTCGAAAATCATGTAAGAACCTTCCCAAGTACAACCCCGATGATTTCCTTCCAAAGCAGCACGAGCGACGAATGTACAGCGATGACAACGCAATAGTCGATAATCAGATCAAACTGGAAATGCGATACGTTACGAGTGCTTGATCAGTATGGTTGCGAGTATCCATAGCCTCTTCCGCCAGATGCCCCTCCATACGATTGAGCCGGCGAAGCTCTTTGAGGACCACCAGAATAGACAGGGCTGTAGCGCGTCATGCTGCCATGTTGCCCACCACCAGCCGTAGCTCCATCAAAGCTAGAGTAGGGGAGAGGCGGCCCTCCACGGGCTTGATAATATCCCCTAACACGGACAACACATATCCATACCTCCCGACACTGATAGTGCGGCACTATTCAGTTGCCTTCTCAATTCTACGAAGTGGCTATTGCAAACTGAGCGAATATTTCACTTCTAATCCACCGTGCGATCGAGAGCTCTCAATAAGCTACGGTCCATGGGTCAGATCAGTCGATAGCATCAACGTCATACATACGTGATCTGAGCTCGGGCTCATTGTCCATAAGCCTGAGCTCAGATCATCCATAAGTATCCATAACCGATGGATCCTCATGTAGATCCAATTGGGGCACGATTCGCTTCTAAACGTCCAGATGTATAAGGTCAAAAATTCCCCCACTTCGTCCTCTTCTAGACGACGCGAGATAATTCCGTCAATGACGAGGACGAAACTCGTGTCACCGGCGAACTTATTTCCATGAAGACCATCTCTAGGGCTTCAGGGCTCTAATTTCGCATCCACTCACCCAGGGCTGCTTCCTGCCATCTGCTGCTCTTCATTGGGAGGCGGGGGAGGGGGGTAAGATGCAGGAGACTGTCCCGCTGAATGAGGAGACTGATTTCTCGGCTGTGCCTTCTTAACATCGACACGAACGCCGTCAATAACATGATTCTCCGGGTTATCCATGAGACAGTTCCGCGCACCTGAGCTCAGAGCGATGAAGCGGTAGCTAGAAAAACAGTCTCTGATAGGCTACGATGGCCGCTCAACTGCAATGCCCCTACCATACTCTGAGTATTTAATGACATAGGAGAAAAAGCACGATCCCGGGAAAAAGGTAGAAAACAAGACCCCCGATTATTTCAGTCCTAGATGATCCTCGCTCAATCCCTGTTCAGGGATCGTTGTATAGGAGATCCCTACGCATTAGGCTCATTTCTACACCTCAATCTCAAATTCGACGAGTGAAATCGCATCGCTTATGAGAACAATTTTCGTATAGCTTCATA